TTCCTAAGATTGTAACAATTTTTAAAGGAATAAAATGCACTACGGAGTTCATTATGAAACACCCACTCATGCGCCGCCATTCCGGAAGATTAAGTCATTTCATGCCTCTTGTCCTGTCATTTCACTGCTTGTTCTATTATTGTAACTAGCTTTTGCCCGCGGCTTCGCTCGAGTTAAAAAGCATTATTATTAATTAGGTATAGTTTTTGCGGCTTTTACTTTTGTTTCCTTTGTTAGGGGATACGTCATAGTAGCTTTATGCATGCAAAGTCTCAGCCCGATCGGTTTAAAATTGACAAACTTTCATCCCCTATTTTATCACCTTGGGGGTAGAATTAATTAAAATCCTTTCTTAGCGGATGCCTACGTCATAACATCTACCTACATGCCAGATTTCAGCGCGATCCGTCCAGTAGCTTTTTGGGCTGTGCGTTGATAGATCACTACGTCAGTCATCTTTGAGTTATATATATTTAGATTACAAAGCTGTTTGGCGGTTGAAATAGGTGAAACTAAGGTACCCACGCAGGCAACTTCCGTTTATGGACACATCATATTGAACTTTCAACCATATTTTCATGCCCATAGAAATTACTTTTGAAAAATAAGTTCTTATTGGATGTCCTTTTTTTATGGATGATAAAGGAATGGTGCACCCGCCAGCGTTAACGGCTTATGCTGGCGGGGCATCAGTGGAGGATGATAATGAGCATGAGGTCAGGTCAATTAGCCCATCGTGACAAATTCACCAAGAATTTATCACGATGGTTTCCACGGGGAACCGCGTGAAGTTCAACTTGCCATGGTACATTGCTAGCAATAAGATCATCAATCCTCATTGCTAACAATCTCCTTTTCCCCCAGTGGATGCCTATTGAACTTACGCAAAAATTCATATTTCTAAACCTAATATCGTGTAAGTTGTGCTTTGGCATATATACAGTCAATCAGTCAGAACAAGCCTCTTTATAATAATAGATTACATAAATATAGATTGCCGTCTTATCTATTTACACACAGCCATTAGACATCCGGATATAGAATTGTCCTTTGTTGGTACCAACCAACCGAAGCCAAACAATCGCCTATTCAGTTATATACTTCAAAGGATGTTGTACGCTACGATCAAGTATTATACCTACTTGTTCGAAACAACTTCGAGATCGCTATATACATATACAAATAATAATAATATAAGGTCTATAAATAAATTTTAATTATTCACTGCAAATAGAAAACTCAACATCGGCTGACGGCATGGATGGATTTGTTGAGCTTTTTTATAAGCTTTTTATGAGATACATAGTGATTTGGCACTGATACTTTCATACCCGTAACCACAAAAAGTATTATAGTATAAACAAACAAAAATACTTTATTTTCGGTTTCTTGGTCTGATAATTATCATATTACGTAACTTTAATAATTTATTGACGACCTCGGTGGTCTAGCGGTCTAGCACACCGCTTTACGACCGATGGTCGCAGGTTCGATTCCTCGCACGGCACAAACATTTGTATTCATGAGTATGATTGTTTGTATCGGTCTGGGTGTTTTCTATGTATAATATGTATTCATTTAAAAATATATATATCTATGTATATGTATCAGTTATTTAGTAGCCATAACACAAGCTTTTCCTAGCTTAACTTGGGCCTAGATGGTGCTGTGTGAATTGTCCTGAGATTATTATTATTATTTAAAAAAGTTTACTTTTGGTGAAAATATCACGTAACCTACACAGAGGAAAATAGTGTTTCCTCTGTGTAGAACCTGCGTTTCAAATCTGTTAATAAAGATTGATTGAGTGACTGAGTGACAGAACAAGCGACAGTCGGAAACAGTATGGTTCAGAGACATTAGATTAGATTAGATTAGATTTGTCGAAGTTGCGGAAAACAAGGTACCTATAATGAACTGGCGACAAAAGACGAAGTGATAAATTAGTCTACAAAAATCTTCACGTATAGGCTTAAATTTGTATAACTATGACGAATAGGACAGCAGTTGACAGCACCTAGTTCACGATTGAACTTTAAATTTTTTGTAGTAATTCGTGAACACGAGTTTTTGTTAGGTTTCATGGCTAATCTACTGAATAGATAAGCTTTGCAGACATAGCGGAATGTCAGAATATTTTTTTTCATTTCTGTTAGAAGAACAGAAGATGTCACTAAGTACTAATCCTACTTTTAACAAGTTATTACATATATACCGATGGATGATGATCGTGGCGAAATAACGAAAAAATGAAGGTTATTTACAGAATATGGTACAGCATTTAGAGTAATAATTATTTGGAGGTACCGCATGGAGATCATGCTGACGTGGTATTTGTACAATGTATATTGCCAGCAATGGGGTTATTGGTCACCATTATTAACGCTTCCGCCCCCTACTCAATAGCTTTTTCACGGCAACTTCGTTCGTACAAACCTCCTCTTACTATCTTTTCCAGATTAGTTTTTGATATAAAAACAAGTCTGCATACAGATGTACAAACATTCGCATTTATAAAATATAGTTAGGATTATATTGTAGAATAATGCAAGACCGTGAACTAAACGTTTTTTTTTTCGTTCTAACGACCGCAGCCCTACTATCTACCATCTAGAATAAATTTTCTCAAGAACTGCACATCTGTATGCAAATTGCCTTTGTGGTTTGGGTTTAGATAACTACCTACCAGCTACTGCAGTTATAGACCGTACAAATAAATATTTTGTATAGAAGGATAAATAATTGTATTGTGTTTGTTAATACACAATGGACATGTAACATAGATAACGCTAAACAATAATCTATATATTATAAATACGAAAGTGTATTTGTTTGTAATTCTTTCACGTCTAATAGTTAGATCAGTTACGAGGAATTTGTATATGATGATGATAGGTGACGCCCCGGAGACACGAACAGGCTACATTTTGTCATTAAAATAAAAGTATAAAGTGGTTTTTATATGCGGAGTTACTAATTTCTCAGCAAAGTATATAAAAACTATTCCTATATAGAAAATATACTAGGTACTTGAAGTGCTATCCAGAGGAGCGAATTCCTCGTATCGCTATAAAGAAGAAATATCTAAAAATAAAGCTGACCTTGTCAATATTGGTTATTATCTATATTTTATTAGAGGTTTTTCTGATTCAGGATTACTTAAAAATCGTAATTTTTTAACTTATTGCATTTTGCAATACAGAAATTATGGAAGAATAAACATTCCACTTATTCCACTACTTAACAGAAGAAAATGGAATCCAAAATTACTACATTCCCGTGGGATTTTCCAACCTTCCTAAATTTCAGATTTGAAAGATTTATAGCGCAAGAGTAATTCGTAATTGGGCGTAGTATTTCCTTTTATCTATTTTGTCAAGCAAAGCTTTGAAAAATATAAAATAATATACGAAACCTATAAGTAATTAATTACATAAGCTTCCAAGGCGTAACAAGAAAAAAAAGATGCAAAACCGTTCAGCAGAGTAATGTTACTATAGTAATATAGTGAATAAGAAACAAAATATGTATATAAAAAAAACCGGAATATATGACGATAGTACAACGTCGTTAATAGATGGAAAAATAGAACTACATATTATATATACAGCTATACAAAATGTACGCAATTATCTTTTCTAAAACAGAGCATGGAGGAGACAACGATGGTGTCAACCGTCATGGTTCGTTTCTTGGGCCGTTGACATGCCATCGAAAACCGCAGAGCATTGTGTTTTATAAGAAAAATAGCTTAGATCTTATTTCCCAGGACATTAGAATGAATATGCTATAGATGCGTAATTATTAAGTTCTCAAACATTAAAAAATAAAAAAATATATATATGGGCCCAAATGTGTCTTAATTAGGTTACCCTATTAATAATATGTTGATGGACAAACGTCTTAAACAGACAGTGTGTATTTGCATATTATTACATCGCATGCTCAATAATAAAATGCATTAACTAATAGAAAGTTACTGGAAAATCGATTTTAAATCTTTAAAGATTAAGTCAAAATCACAAGAATTATTTGTTTTAGTTAATGCACTTCCATTATTTAGCGTGTGATATGATGTTGTTAATTACATATTATTATTGGTTTAGAAGTTAAAATATGAGCTTAATGACAATAGAAAAACTTTGAATACTGAATAGAACGATATCACACTAACGCTGTTATCCTTTTATATTCATTTTTTAATTATTTCATAATAAACAAATATTAGTTTCATTATATGTAGATGAAATGTTGAAGTACCTACTATCTATTTTCTAACCACACTTTCAAATTTACACTATCAGTATAGATTATTAATAATAAAATTAACTTAAGCAATTATTACAAAATTGTATCACTTTTACTCAGTATTGGTACTGTGATTATGGTACCGGCTAGTATGTACCGTACTACAATATATCAATCAAACATATATTCTTAGATCTGAATCTTACTTAATAACTAAATCCCACGTGAACGATGCTGTAAGGGTAGAAGCTAATTATTTTAAAAAGCAACATTTATGAAGTGAATTCTTTCTTTCGTTTCTCGTTAACAGGAAATCTTTTCTTATAACGAATTTTTACATAAGAATATTTTCTAATAAAATGTACGAGAGTATCTAATTAAAATCACAAAGCCTTTAAAAGCTACTGTGGCTGAAATATTGAAATCTGACATTCTCGTACTTCATTTTGTTGTAAAAAAAAACACTTTTTGATACGTTTCAGAATACAATATTTCTATACACGAACAGAGCTTTCAAATTGAGTCACGTTGTTATGATTGTTCAATCAATACTTGAAATAAGCTTTGATATTATATACATAACTTGATGTTATGAATGCAGTAAATAAAGACAGGACATATCATAAGCATAAGCGTGATATTTAATTTAGAATTTAAAGTCCAAGAAAATGGATGGAAGGATATACTTAATATAACATTGATAAATGTCTAAGAGAACAATGCTTCAATGAGTAATTTTTTCTTTAACTTACCAAAATCTGAGCCCTGCCGGTATCGTCGTCAACCCAGCTGACAACTAAATCCGCGCCTCTCATGTTACCTTCTGAGTTGAACCCCAGACCAACATAACCAAGGGTTCTTGCTTCGATTCTGAACGTAATATCATTCTGAGAACTGGTCCATTTCAACACAACGTCACCATGTTGATCCAAACTTTCAGAGTGTGTCCAGTTTAAGCCAGAATCGTATAGATTTGAATCAAAAACCTCCCGACGGTGTCTTACTTTATACTGATCGACTATGCGGCTAGTCTTCTCATTTTTTAACTCTGGCTGTAATAGACGAAGTGCATCATTGTATTGTATTGGATTCGATGGGAATTCGTTTGGCTGAATGTGTGATTTTGTTCTTGGTAATTTCGCATCACACAGCAGAATGACGCTTAGTGTTAAAATTGTTTGTATATACATTTTGCCTTCACTGTCCTTGCTTCATTACTTTTAGATCATCTGGAACAAACATAAATGTCAATTAGAACGGTATTAAAAGACACAAAATAATACTCAATAGATAATAATTAGAAAAGGTAGGTAATATACATAAAATCGAAATCAAACTTAATGAACTATTACAAAAGAAAAATTAAAAGAATCATAATTATCGGTATTATTTCCGATAAATATATATATAGTAAATGTATCTAATATAATATCTACTAGTCGACAGAGAAAATGAGATAACGGATGTATTGTTCACACTTCTAGATTCCAGCTGCACTGAGTACCCTATATACCTAAATATAAGGTATTTTACATTACATAAAGATTAGCACTAAATAATAGGTATACCTAAACTTATTCCATACATCGATAACATAATAAAAATTGCAAAAACAAATACTACCTAAAGGAATCTTCACTAACATAGAAGTCAAAATAATTATGTTTGGTGTTATTTGTAAATGAATCAACATTCTCCTATGAAATTCTTAACCATTAGTGTCTATATTAGGTATTATTGACGTATAATAAAATAAAATAGATATTTATTCAAATAAAAAAACAGAATGAACAATAAAATGGTAACGAGGTGATAATTTTAGCATAGAATACCACCTACGTAATTTTATAACGCCATAGTAACTAAAATAAACCGAAGACAATCGTAAGCGTCTTTTCTCACGTAAAGAATGATTTTAATTATCTTAAACCGCGGAGCAACTTTGAAAAATAAACGTGAGAATTTCGTATGTGGCAAAAACTCTCGAGTTCACCATCTGTTACAGGCATTTAGGATAATAGGGTTACCACATGTGTAAAATCGACCCCAAAACTACGATTTTCGTGATCCGTGGATAAAGAAATAAGGAATACTCATCCTAAGCTGTATTTAGTGAAAATAATATCATATTATAATAATAGCAGTCTATAATAAAAGTCTTTGTGCGACACATTCATTCTTACAAACCAACAGAATATATTTCTGTACTCGTATATACTTTTTGATTTGACATTATTTAGCTTTCAGTATGTGGATATAAACATTCCGATTCTGTTGACGAATAAGTAAAGCATCAATATATAATACAACGTAAGCAGCTCATAATCTTGTGACAAAATGTGATAATTTAATATTTAAATAATATAACGTGTCACATTTTACATTTACTATATTATTGCAATACCTTTTACTAAATATCTGGACTGAATTATTGCTGTCACCCCTGTACACAGAACAAGCAAATTTTAAGGGCATACCTGTGAATAAATCATTCGCATACTCTTTGCTTACTCGCCGTCGTATTAAGATTGCGACAGCTTTTGCATAATCACTGTCTTCAAGGGGTAGAATAATAAGATTATCTTATCAGAATATAGGCGCGTATGGAATTTTAAAAGGGAAAAGTAAAGCAAAGCAGGCAATTCCCGTTATTGGAAATGATAACATTTTTTTGCAAGTATTATTTTGGAAGTGCAATCGAGTTGACGCTTTACCTGATAAAACGGTAACCGTTAATCATCAGATGGTGCTACTTTGTTTGATTCAAAAGACCGAAGATCAGTTTTTTTAATAAAACATATTCAGCCATTTTGTATGCCAATAATGAATATATATTTTATAAGGAAGCTTGAATTACCTACGTTCTACATAATATATACCACTTAACTATTCAAGCGTGTCTCCCTACATACAATCAAAGACGTGTCTTCGTTTAATGGTGAGGCAATAAATGAACATGAACGCTTGTTCATTCATTATATAAGACTGAGATGAGTAATATACATATTTCTAATTTTTTTATAGCATAAGGGCATCCTCCACTCGACTGGATTCTCTATGCGAAACGCGTTAATAACATTTAACGCCGGTATTCTGAATAGGTGTGGTATTTCCAGATTCAAGTTGGCCTATTCGCGCTGCTCTATCACTTGAAAAATGTCGTTACTTCCAGCCACTTCAACTTGCCGATTATTTTCGCAATTTATTTTTATATTTCAGCGATAATATGTCCTACTGAATAGTTATATATTTGCTATGGTAGTATCTAGTAATCTTCAGTAATCGTGACTCTGGCACGTGTCACGGACGACCGAGTGAATGCTCGCATTTAGCTTTCCTACCAAGATCAACCGCCATATTAGAAATAGAACGGAAAGCAAACAGCAACAAAAACCAACTGCGGTCGCACCGGCGAAACGAGATAACAAATCATTATCCACTTATTGAAAGGAAGTCGAAACCGCTTCCCTGGTCGTTATAAACAAATGGAGTAACATTTTTTCGATATTGTATAACCTGACCAGAATTGACGCCTTTAATTGGATGTCTCGATATTTGCCACTTTGACTTCCTGTTTATTTTACTTGATTTTATCTTTTTTATATATTTATAGTAAATATACAGATTGCTAACCATGCACACTATTGACCCCACTGCTAGTAAAATAATATATAATAACCCTCCAAGATCAGTTCTTTAACCGGTCCTGCCTACTTCAAGAAATTACTTCTAACAATATATGATTTCTAGGGAGAATGTCCCTAAAAATCATATGTTTTTATATGTCCAACTCATTCTTAAAACATTTTGAAATTGAATCATTATTTCGTGAGTAATTTAAATATAAAATATATTCTCATAGAAACCCTCGTCAGTTCATAGTTTGATTCGAGGACTGATTAAATAATATTTATTTCAGCTAGGCGTTAATTTACTTATTTTAATTTATAGGCAATGATAATAGAAAATTGGTTAATAAGTTACAGATAATTGATTTGCGAATTTATCTATTCAACTAACAAGATATGCACGAGTGCTTCTGTGATAAAAAGAACTATTGAATGGTGTACATAAATAGATGAAAATATAGTAGTGTTTGTTGATATGAAATGATAAGTAATTCATCAAAATTGATTCTAATTAATTAAAAATTTGCCATATTCCGAACATAACAGAAATTGTCTCGTAACAAAATATAATCGCTACACATCGTAATACCTAAAATACTTTAGAAGCGACCCAACACTGGTGACAACAGAAACATCGAAACACGAAATACAAGTACTCGTCCTGCATACGAACAATGAAAATAGCTTTGAACCAAAACCTGAACTAAAAAACCAAAACGACAATCAACTGTATTTACCAATACGCTTAACAACAATTTTAATAAAATTTCCCACTATCGTATAGACATTCCTTCATTATAGAATAAGAGGCATGACATTTTAGTCCCCTGGAATAGCAACACATGAATTGTCTCATGGGTGTCATTTGATAACGTGACACCCATGACACATCTCTAGCGCTGTTCATATATATGGTACATGCGACGGTTATCGCTTGCCATCAGGTAGGCCATTAGACTGTTTGCCATTCCAATAAAAAAATGGAAAATCTGTAACTCTTAGCAATAAGACTTCTGCATATTAAAACCAACCTTTAACTTTAACGAATATTCCAATGTTGATCCTTTTGTTAGTTTGAAAATTTTAATAGTAGTATATTATTTTATTTCATATATATCTCAAACAGAAACAAAAATATAAATGTCAACAAACGTATAAGTTAAAAAATTGAATATTTTATTTGAAGGAATTGAGATCAACTGGATGGTGTTGTGTGTACCGACAAACTTTCAACTCTCGATTGGTTTGTACAAAAGAAGAATATTTTCAATCTCGCCGTTCTAGTCTGATTTTAAGCAATATTTCTGTTATGACATTGTATTAATAACAAATATTAACATTAAACCACATTTAGCTAATATGGCATGACTCAATATCGTAGTTAGCATCTACATATTTGCTAACTATTAGTACATAAAATTAATTATTACTGTTTAATAAGACTTTTTCTCTTTATTAATAATACCTATAATTCTATATTCTTTTAAAACTCTTTTTTGCAATATTTTCAATTGTCAATATAATAACATTGTACATTTTTTCGTGAACTTTTTTGTAGGACATTGTAATAAATCCATCGGTGATAAATTGTTAATTATAGTTTTATTTACGGGTGAAATAATCTTCAAGGCGGTAAATAAAAAAAAATAAACAAGGTACTTCAGAGGTATATATATAAAATATTTTTGTTTTCATAGGCTCTGGCTATAAAATTACACCTATACACACAACTATGGTATTGAAAATGGTATAAGTAGTAAAGAAAACGAAAAACTTGCTTATAATAACATTCCTTTGTTATTGTAAGAAAAGATTGGATTTCGTGATCCACAGTGGATTGTTGATCTGGACGCTGACAAAGGTACTCGTACCTATATTGAGAATATACATTTCAGGGTTTGTGTTTTACAAAGTTTGTGACATGAGACATACCAAAGGTAGACTGTAAAAAGTTTCCTCAGTCTCGCCTATTCAGCCAAACAGCTTGCTTTGTAAACTGCGTTTCACATTAAGGGACAGATTAGGGAGTGAACTTACAGAATCAGAGGCATGTCGTATTAGACCTATGAAATAGCAAAGCATGAGTGGTACCATAGATGCATCATTAATGCCATTTCAATTACATTACAAAAAAAATAGGAAGAAAGTTTAAATAATGTCGTATTCTTACAACCAAATTTGAAATTCCATGAACAAGACTTATTCATATCCGTATCCAGTATCCGCATCCGTAAAACTATATTGTATCGAAACCTAAAAAACATTAGCACATTCCCACGGTGTCATTAAACGAAACTAAATTATAATTTGGGCTGCAGATTTATTTAATAGTTCTATTGTGAATTATTAACAGTTTACAGTAATACGCAATTTTTATTCAATTCGACTATCGTTTTGATTGACAATATAAGATTTATTTTCAAAACAAATAACTATTAAAGATTTTTTGTAATCGATAAAATTAAGATGGATGATACTTATAATTATAAAACATTAATTAACTAAAAAAATTAAAATACATAAAAAATAAGCTATTCAGATTACCCATATTAAAAGAGTTCTTTAAATATATATATTTAAAACAATATTACATAATTTAA